AGAAATAGAAAAATTTCTCTCAGCGGTTCTACCTTCTTATTTTTTTTTATCAGGATAATAACAACACCGGCACAAAAAAGGGCTGTGTGCTTCTAACGAGACCCACATACCGACATTTCGACCCGGTAAATCCGAATTTGAGGTCCGTTGGACTCGCTCACCCTCACGTTAATTGCGAAAAATGGTATTTTCACACCCTTTTTATTTCTTTGCAAAAAAAAAACTCATTCATGTCCCAAATTTTTTTTTTCAAATACCAACACATCTTAATTCAACATGGAATGACACGCCTTTATCTTACCTTCCTCTTTCATACTTTGAATGAGCTTATTCGCAAAGAAACTAAAAGGGAGAGAACACACCTTACCAACGATACCTCATTAGTCTAAATTGGTAAGGTTTTGGCTGAGTTATTCAAGTTTTTCTTAAACCAGTCTTTGAAAACAAGTCAAAAATAGCATCAAAAATTTCATTATTATGATTCCGTAGACAAATTTTTCTAAACTTTTTAAGCTTAAACTGTTTAGTAATCTGAGGTATATTTAAAAAAAAATATCTAAAAAAACTTTTTATTAATAAAAAACTCAATTTTTGGAGGTATTTTCAAATCGGTCCAGTTCACGTAAATCTTAATATTTTTGCTAGGTATTTTGGTGTAAGTCTTAAAATGTAATAGATTTTATAATTCCAGTGGAAAACAGTACCAATTTTTTTTTTTTTTTGATGGGGAGTGATGCAGTCTACTGTACATAAGTTGACTATGACTACTGGGCCGTGCTATCAAAGTAGCACAATGCCACTAAGTGCATTTTAAAATTTTCAGGCAATAGCCTCATGCGATTATCGATTATATTTTTTGTTGTTTGTGTGAAATATTTTATTTTTATCGGTATTTTTCTTTTAATCAAAACATGTTGAAATAAAAGTGAAAATAAAAAAAAATGGGCTAGCAAAAAATTTGTGCGATGAACGCGAAAACCACCGGTTAGCTAATTTTTCAAAAAAAAAATCCAAAAGTATTTTTTGTACATTTTTGATTTTTATTAATTTTTTCTCTTCAAATACAACATTTCTTAAACGATATTTCGCATTTTTTTCGTTTTTGTTTTTAATTGTTTATTTTTGTTAATGCAGTATAATTTCATATATTTATATATAATTTTTTTTTTTTAATTTTTATGCTAAATGGGCTGCATCTTCAGCTCATTTAAATATGTTTCAATTTATTTTTAAGATTATTATTATTTTACTGCGAAAAGTTTTTTCTCTTGTTTACATTGCGCTTATAAATTTTATAACATTTGCGAAAATTCTAAATCTTTTTTACATTATTTTAAATTAGAATATTAAATGTAAACATATTTATATAGTAGCATAGAAATAAAGTCTTATTACATAGAATTATAATAAATATATGTATTTATATTCAATACGCGTTCTTAGTGAAATTAAATTATATACTTATTTCAATTCTACTCATATACATACATAGTTACATACAGTTTAGCTTTAGGAGGTACATTTAAAAAATAAGAGCGGAGGTACTCTAGCTTGAGGGTCTGGAAACTTTTACTAACTAACCAAAGAGCTGAAGCTAATCTCTTAAGCAAATGAGTTGTTATTCATGAAGATATGTAATAATATGAGTGAGAAGTAGGTTCATATAATATTTATGTACATACATACAGACATACATATGCATGTACATACGTAAATATTTCGCGTTTGTAAATCTTCTATGCAAATATTAAATCTTTATGCAGAAATAAATTTTATATAACTTTCTGACCAAAATTCCGATACCCAAACCTTGTAAAAAGAAACATTCTCATTTATTAGAATACTTTCGCAACTCAAAAACGTAATTTTACTCTTAAAACAAGGAAAATATACAGCCTCATCGCCAATTCCATGCGAATAAATAGTATGAAAAGCGAAAATTGTATGAAAAGCGCAGTGCTGGTGCCTCAAAAAGCGTCGAGGCAAATTAGTCGCGAAAATAGCCTGAAAAAGTCGTTCGCAAGTTTCGTGTTGCCGTTTTGGTCAATAAATGTTTTTATCAAGTTCTAGGCACGAGGATACCGAACATTTCAGTCAATGAAAGCAAAAATATGTATCAACAATAGTTATCGAAATCGACGCCGGTGATGCCAATTCGGCACCAAAATAAGGGTGAATAATTCTGTGATTATTGCGTGTCTGAAATTTTGTAATTTGCATCACATATGACGAAATCTCGGACGGAGCGACCAAGGTCGTCGAGAAATGTGGAAACGGTGCAAGAGTCTTTAAATCTTCCTTAAAGTTCTTTATAATGCATTATGTGTAAAGATTTGTTGTGTCTCTCCACAAGTACAAGTTACAGTCGATTAAAAAATTGATGCCCACTGACGCCGCTGAGCGTCTTGGAGACTACTCAAAAATTTTGCTCTGCGAAACACATTTAGACAATGCTATTCTAGAGAAATAAATTTTCAAGGACTGGACTTGCAATAAAGTAAATATTGTTTCATTCGAAAAAGCTTTTGGGACTACTTGTACTTGTCTTTTTGTAATTATCTAACTATGCATAATGAACCTACTAAGGCAAGCGAATAGCAAATTATGAAGACAAGTTAATGTGAAAAGTATAGCAAAACCAGAGTTCAAAATTTGGTAATCTGTCTATTTTTTGCATAGTGGTCAATTTTTTTTTTTTATGCTGCGAGGCCAATCGCAAGGAATGTAAAACTTAATTTGCGGGTTTTGGAGTCGCCGCCATCTTGAAAACAAGAGTGGTAAACTTTTCAAAAGTCTGTCAAACACAAATAAATGTGAAACAAAATGAAGTGACAATCGAAGTACGTTCCCACGACACGATTTATATCACTCCAGCACCATTTCAAAAACCTCTGGGGAAGTTGCATGCTGTTACAACAACAACGGCAATCGAAATATGTATGTATGTAATATTGTATAGTCTTGATTAATATCGCAATAATTGGTATTATCAGTACAAATTACCACAAAACAGCGTTCGATAACTACAAAAAATTGCCAAAAAATCAAAAATTTGAAGGGCAAAGTATTACCCATCACGATCTGGAGCCTATTTTATAAAAGTGACTGGTTCATACACGTTTGTAGGCAACTGTGAACATTTTTGGAAAACGACAGTGATAATATTGTCGACAATTGTGCTGACAATTGTCACTCTAACAAAATTGTCGCGACAATGGAAACAAAACCAAATAGCTCCGCCGGAAAGCTTTCACCGGAGAGTTTTGTAAATTTATTTATATGGTAATTGCGCCCATTTCATTACTTTTCAATGATTTGAATAAATAGTTCTTAAAACTAAAATAATGCAAATGCAATATTGCATATGATTTATATATAAATTTCATATGACTGGCGACAATTTTGTCAACGAAATCATATGATTGTACTTTTTGTAAACAAAATAGAATTTTATGAAATTTGGATTTTAAATACACTGGCGATCAAAACTAAGTGAATGTTTTTTATTTCAAATATTTTTTAAATATTTTTCAATTTAAAATTCTTTGTTGTTGTTTTTTATAAAAATATTGTTCATGCTTTAACCAAAATTCTCACTTTCCTTGTTGGTGTTTCCGACAGGGCAGGGGTATGTTGGCGTTGTGGAATGATTTCCCGGTTTCGGCGTTGTGTCCGTTGTCTCCGAGCCAAACCAGAGATGGCGGAAAATCGTTCCACAACATATCTTTAACCAGAACCTTAATTTTACATTTATAACTAAAATTTCATGACGCAAAAATTTTACAATTCAGATGAAAAATTCTGAATTTTTCTATATTTCATATAGTTTAAAACTTTAATTTATTTGGCTTTAGTTACAGTATGAACAATATTTTTATAAAACAAAATAACAAACGAACTTTAACTTGAAAAACATTGTTAATATAACAAAAAAAAAACACCACCTGTCACGAAAACGGCTTCCCTTTAAAACTATTTGACGTTTAGAGGCGGCTTAAAACGTCGGCTTCATTTCATTTCTAATTATTTACAAACCATAAACAAAATTATTCAGATTCTCTTCAAGTACCTTTTTTTACAACTAATTGCAAAATTTCAGTTTGTCAATTTTTTGGGTTTCTACGCATTTGGGAAGGACTTTTCTTATGCACTTCTTGTTGTAACAGCATATTTATATATTTAATTTTGCATTTGTGAATTTTTAGACTTGTTACAACGTTTTTAGTATTTATTTCATTCAAATGAAACGTTTTACGCAAATGTTGAAAATATTTTGATCTAGCTGTATGCATCTGTATATATAATATATAGTATGTATCTGTATATAAGGGTATTTTTATTCATACTTTGAAACTAAATAATTTGTGTCAGTGTATATGTATACGCAAATTTGTTTTTTTTTATATACATACCTAGGTTCACAATTAATTTGTTTGCTTGCTTATTTGTTTCTTGTTTCTTGTTTTTTTTTTTAATTAGATATTTCTTTAGTTTACTGAACTCATCCGCATTTTACATTACTTTACAATAGTGCAGCACCTTGTGGCTGTTCACTTCCTTTTCTACCGTTCGCTTCTTCGTTACCTTAACTTATTATGTTGTGTGCGAGTTTGTCGTTTAAGTTTTCTTTTCTTCCACTTCATTTGTATCGTGCCTCTTATTTTAGCTTTTATTTAAATTTTGAGTGCAATAACATACAATGCCCCGGTCGCAATTAAATTTGTCAGGGGATTTGGCCTGGGCTTCTTTCTGCTTAGATTCATCGCTGTGAGTCGAAGCCCGCAAACCTAATTTTGGTTTAACTTGCATTTGTTCCTCAAAAAGGCATGCTAAAATAAAGGCCCTGATCGGGGGCCACTCGCAAACTCTATAAGAATCTGGGCGGTCCGGAATTGTAGGTCCCAGGAGGGGGATGTGGTGCTGGCGAATGTTGACCTTGACGCAACATGTCAAATGGTGAATTCGAGCGCTGCATAAAGTGGTGATAGTTGCTAGGTGGTAGTGGGTGCTGAAAACCAATAAAAACAGAAAATTTTCTTTAAATAAAGGATAATTAATGAGAACTAGGTTTAACTAGGTAAAGGAGTATAACCCAGTTCGAATTAAATTACATGAAATTCGTTGTTGGAAAAAATATAGCAATTTTTTAAGCAAACAGAAAAACAATAATATAAAAAAAATAGAGGGTCTGGGTCTTCCCATTGAGCTTGGTACTTCAGCAGCTTTCTCCGTGAATTTTTTTATGGAATTATATTTTTAGTGGTCTATCCGACAACCACATTATTGCAAAGCCAAGCTTAGTAACTTTTTTTAACTTACCTGCAAACCACGCAATCCCAGAGGTCCAGCAGCGCCAGGTGCTCCTCCTCCCATAATATGACTCGGCCCATCTCCCAAATCTAGTTGTAGACTTTCGTGTAGGTCCCCGTTGTTGCCGTTATTGGTGTTGTTCGCCAGATGCAACTGGCCTAACGATGCCGTTGCCATCGCTACATCGGGCATCATATCCGACAAATGTCCACCGTTACCACCCTCGCCACATGCAACCGCACCACCACCTCCCTCGGCTCCAACATCGATCCCCAGCGCACTGCCATGCGGAAAGCGATAGTCACCTTCTGTTATTAGTGCGGGTAAATCGCTACGATGATGTACTGAAGCTGAAAGACGCGCGTAATTTGCTTGTAAAGCACCACCGCCGCCATTAGCCACATTTGTAGGCATGCCTCCTCCAACGCTGCTGCCCAAACCCAATAAACCGCCTGGATGTTGTCGGGGGAAAGTTAAATTTCGGCTATAGCATGGTTGTATACCTTCGCCTCCACAGGTAGATGATGCAGCCGACGATCCCATCGATGTCGAGAGAAAGCCGCCAGTCGTAGTTAGTCGTGGCACGGAGCATGCAGCGGCGGGAGAAGGAGGAGGCGTTTGGTCATCGTCTTCGATGAGATCGGGATCAGTTTGAGTGGTCGAAGTGATGCCAATGTCGTCAGCTATAGTAGTTGCGACGGATGCGGACGCAGCTGCCGCATTCTGATTGCTTAACAGTGATGTCTCTAGCAGGTCTGACACCGCATCCGGTAAATTGAATTCGCGTACTACACGGAGACGTATCTGTCGATCAATTTCATGTTTTGATGAAAGCGGCAGCAGCAAAGCACGTTGGCACATGGGCGACTGGTGCAATTTGTGCTCGCGTTTGAGCAAAGCTGCTAACGTTTGTGTGTCAGGCGGCGGTATGGCGGCAGCTGCGGCTAAAATATTTACGCTTTCTTTCCCAGTTACAGCCGCCGCAGTGGATACACTAGGTTTGGCCGCTGCGTTTATGCGAGATACCATGTACAAAGTGTCGGGAATGTCGGGCAAGTGGCGTGATCGCCGCATGCGCATCAGCTCCGCTTGATGTTGAGATGACGCCATTCGATCTTCAAGCAATACCTTTACTTCTTCAAAGTACGGCATGAAAAGCCGCGGCCGAACAAACAGGCCTTGGTTCTTTCCCCCACGTATCCAAGCGTTGACTCGCAAATTTTCCCGGTCGTCACCGATCATATGAGAAGGTGGCGTACTCACAAGCCCCCGACGAATAGCTTGTGCGAGCACTTCACTATTGGGCGGCAAAACGTGATCCATACGAACTAATGGCAGCAACTCGGAGAGAATCTCCCGTAACTCAACGTCACTTAGGTCGCGCTTTTTCACGCCTTTTCTCGTCACTGAATGCGCTGTGTGTGACAAAATATTTGGTTCACGATCTTCCATACGCCTTATAAGTTCTTGTTCTCCCCATTTAAGCACAGCCTGCAGCACCTCCAACTCTGATGCTTGCAAAAAATTACTCTGCAGTACGTGTATCAGCTGGGACTTGTCCAGTTGGTGTAGCACCGGTGAAGCGATTACTGCAGAGAACTCCTCCCGAAGGTACTGGCACGCTTGCCGATACACCCAAGCGGAACCGTGTGGCTGCAAATTGAAAATTATTACAAACACTTAGTAGACCTGATTCACAATATAGAAATAGAACTTCTACGGTCACTTCTTGTTTTTTTGAATTGTTATTATGTAGCTATGTTTAAAGGAGATACATATGTCAGACAAGAAGCTTTACAATTTCCTTCCCGTTTTCCACAAAACATATACACAATAAGGTCCAGTTTTTCAGTGCCAGTTTAAACTTTGATTACGTAAACTGCGTTTATCTAGCCCATCTGGCTGACATTTGATTGGCTAATCTTATTTAAGCCAACTAAACTAAGTTTAAACTCAGTGTGCAGTTTTTCAATCAAATTTAAACGTAGTTTAACTAAATTTAAACGCCCAATCTGGCTGGGTTAAACCAAGTTTAAACTATCAGCTGTTAAGTTGTGTATTTGTAGTCAGCTGCCAAAATTTAGAAAGAGGATGGTAAAATTAAAATTGTTTGCGAAATTTGGAGTTTACTGCACGTCTATACCTGCTATGGGCGCTCACATACGAAACATTGTAGGAGATAAGTCGCAGGTGTAGACCGTTCATCGCAGAAGGTATATGATGATATAAAGTAGGAGATATCGCAAACTTAACTATGGGTTTAGCCACTTTTTTCATATTTGCTTTGCTTGCGAGTAGGAAAGAAGTGGTGTTATTCGAAGAAATGTTGTTCAGGCACAATCAAGCAAAAAAAAAACAATTTTCGCAACATTTAATAAATAATAAAAACTTACAACAAATTCGCACTGAAATGGTATGCGATGAAGTACCCAGGTACAAACATTTCTCTGGGATAAGATTTGGTATGCGAGAAAACTGACAGTTCGTATGCGAGCGCCCATAACAGGTATAGACGTGCAGTTACTTGCATAGGGTAATTTGGCCGGGCACCACATGAAGCACCTAACAAACTCTTTAACTTTGCGTCTATAGCACAAGGCAACAAAAATGGGAAAAAATGACTGTTGCCTTGTGTAATCTTTCAGAATTTGAAACGCGATCGTATCAAAAGTGAAAATAAATAGCTGAAGCTTTGTATCTGCATAAAGAAAAAA